ACATACACATACACACACACACATGTACATACACACACATACACATACACACACACACATGTACATACACACACACACATGTACATACACACACACACACACACACACAGTATTTATATAAGACATAGTTTTTGAATTTCTAAAGCAGAAAGCAATCAGGCACCTTAAAAGTGTTATGTGTGTTTATGTTGTGTGTGTGTGTGTGTGTGTGTGTGTGTGTGTAAGAAACAAAGCAAAATAGATTTTTGACTAATCATATATTTATTTATCAAATTTATAGATTGCCCATTTCACTCACAGAGCAGGTCTGGGCAGTGTACAATTAAAATATGTCTAGTCTTTCTTAAAAAAGAAATAAATTACTTTGGTTATTGAGAACAACAGCTGCAGAATAACATTGTGAAACTGATGAAACAGATCTCAAATTGGTGAGCCATTCCTTTAATAAAGCTCAAGTGAACATGCAACCAGAAATATAAATACTTCTTGGGATTTGGATCCTTTAGACATATACATACAAAGAAGTTTAGTGAGTTGAGTGATGCTATTAAGGCTTATAACTTATCTCCAGAGCTGAAACAAATTATAGATTTTATATATGCAAGTAAATAGCAAAAATGCTTTAGTTTATTGCATGTATCTAAACTCCAAAGGCAACAAGGAAAAGAGGAAGACAACAAGGAAAGCAAAAAATAAACAATTCACTTCTTATGGTAATATGATTGTAAATTGAGACTTATGAAGGAAGTTGGAGACAGCTATAAAGCCCAGTGATTTTGCATGACAGTTGAAATGAAGAAAGCAAATTGCCTCAGCTGAGTTAATACAGGAAATGTTATGATTTCTGAGAGGCAAAGAGGGAAAATATCAATGAATATATGAAAAGTTCAGAACACTACTAAGCCTACCTCTGAGGAAAAGCATGAAGACTGTCCATCTTTTTCAGGTAATGCTAACTGTCCTGGGTCTGTACCAGTATGCTTGCTCACAAGACCTAGAAAATTGTATGGTTAGTACATTATCTGTATGAGAATTAATTTACGCATGGAACATTTTCTAGTATCATTCTAGCATAACTTTTATTTCTGCTATTCAAAAAGCTAACAACAAATCAAAATAACTGTAAAATAGCACTTAAACAAAGGAAAAGGAATTAGATATAGAGCATATTGTCAATACAGACTATTAATATACTGATGACAATACCAATATACAACCACAAGTTACAGAATGTCCCACATATGCTAGCAATTTAACAGAAAACGTTCATGCAGCATGTTGGAGTGAATGTTTTATAAGTCTAATAAACAAGTAGGCATTCCATTAATGTGTCATTAAATATTATCATACAAGCTTGACTTTACTTGAGTGTTAAATTCCTACTAGTTATAACCTCAGTTAAAATGCTGCAGATATCTGTAGTATAATTTGATATTTGAAGTTTTCATACAAATAAGATGCAGACTACTAAGTTTCAGAAAGTTAAGAATATACCCGCTGCAGTGTATCCAGAAGATACTGTTCTTGATTTATGATGTACAGTTTTGTTTGCCAGCAGTACTGATGGTATATAAGCTGCATCATCATTAACTGATGCTGAACATTCTGGACGACTGAGTGGAGTCACTTCTCGAAGTTTCTTCACTGAAATCGTGATTTTTTTCCTAGCAGAAACATCAGATTTGCTGCTAGCAGGTGCTGCCCGAACACCAAGGGATTTATTTTTCATGCGAACGCTGGTGGAATAAATGAGAAAATTACTGGCAGTGAGGCTGGACAAAAAATCTTTGCCTTAACTAGTAATGTTTTCCACTTCCTTCAATAGCTCACATCATATCCATTGGGCCTTGTTTCTGTTAAACAATTACAACACTAAATACCGGTAGATGACACAGTGTTTTAAATATAACAAGGGAGGAAAAAGGAAAGAAGTGGGACAGGTTCAACGGAAATGAACTCTCCTGCTCTATCAAAAGATAATCACCGCCATGTACTGTAACAGAAAGACATATGCAGTGTACCACTATTACAGAGTGCAAGAACAGTCCTGCTTAAATATACTCTGATCAAGGAAATCTGGAATCACCCTGGAGAGCATCCTACAGCCTTCCTTGCCTGCAAAGAAAACCCAATTTTATTAAGCCCTTCTCCCCTACATTTCTTCATCCTAAAATAAAAAATAAAGTTAACATGGTTTCAATATTTATACGCAGATGAAATAATAAAACTGTTTCTATTTCTAAATATCTTCATTTTTTCCAAAGAGATTTACAAAATGCAAGCATTTCCTACGTATGCCCTACCAACATTCCTTACAAACTCATAAACTGCAGGAAGCAGTTCATTTCCTTATTAAAGATGCTTTCTAAAGATGCTATTTATGAATTCTAGACACTGAAACAATATAACAAAAACACCATAAAAATAGCTACCATCCATCTAAATTATTCTTTAGTAGCAGATATAAGTGTCATATCAAAGCTTGAGGTAAATACATAGATGCTTGTTCCTGAGAAAAGCATTGATTCATTCACCTCAAGCTTTGCTAAGACACTTATATCGGCTACTAAAGAATAATTTCTGTAGCTGCAAGCTACAGTTCCATAAATTACATTATGGCTACAGAGGACTTTAAACCATGAATACTGTCTCATTTTCTTTAAATTCTATGCCCAGCAGCTGCGGGCCAGTTTTGGTACAAATAAGCTGAGAAAGAAAAATCTTCCCAATCTTCCAATTTTTAGGATGAACACCCTTTGAATGGTGTGGGAGTAGGAATTGATTTCCAGAGGAAAAAAATTGCAGACTACAGGAACCAGGAGCACTGCTCAGGTGACTCCCGAAGACACAGATAAACCTCCAAGTGCTCCCGCTAAAAAGATGCAAATGACCAGCTGTCTGCAAGGAATATAAATCCTTCCATTCCCCACTATCCTGCCAGAGCAGAAGAAGCTTCTTGGATTAGAAGCGAAATGTCTTCAAAAAAAAAAAAACAAGAAAGTCGAGTTGTCTCCTGAAAAAAACACCTTTGGGACTTATGACCTGGAGGACTGAAAATCAACAGTCTTCCCACTGTTCCATTACAACGTAGTAAACCGTGTACCATTACTTCCAGCTCTCCAAATTACATGAAGCCGTATGATTAAGACAAAGCTGGATATAAGACGGTGTGTTTTGCTTTTGTTCAGAAGATAAGGAAACCATAACTAACCCATAAATTACGGAGGAGGGAGGGAAAAAGATCTTCCGAGCTTTACCTCGCCATAGCTTTCAATCTCCCCTCACCTTTCATCCCCACTGGGGACCCGACTTCCCTACACTTTTCTTCCCGTCTATCAGTCTTTGTATGCTCGTCCGGCAATCAGCCATTAGAAACGCTGGTTGCCATAGTCACAACCACCACTTAACAGCCACAGCTCCCGCCGCTTCCAAACTGACAAATGAAGTCCAACCTCTTCCTCTTAAGGGGGAGGAGGAAGCTGCCGGAATAAAGAATGCGCATGTGCAGCTGGAACTTCCGCTATCTAAGGAGCCGAAGACACTGCGCATGCCTCTCAAAATCCGCCTTTCTTTTCCTCTTCCCATTCGCGGTACTCCTTTTTAATTCCCTCGCTCCCCCAGTTCAGTTATGGTAATTTTCCGGGTAGAAACAATTTTCTACACGAGTGGTTCCTCCGCTCACATGCCCTACTTATAGAACTATTCCGTTCTGTATATATCGCTTCCTGATTTGCCGCCTTTACTAAGTGAAAGTGAGAGCAAAACAGCCTTTGTAAGCGGTAGGCACGCCTAGATGAGAGGAAGGGGACAATTTACAGTGTCGCGCACATTTGGTGGTTGCTACGGTAGGTAAACCTGCCTGACAGCTCCACCGTCGCTGATTCGTGTCCACCGCCACGAGGTATGTAAGTGGAGGCGAACGAAAGGAAAGCTACTCGTGTTGTGGGGAGTTGGTGTTTGTCGTAAGCAAAAGTGAGGAGAGAATCAAGGAAACGAAGAATAAAAGTAAGAATTTGTAATGCACTCGGTAGGGTTGCATCTGTTAAAGATTGCAGTTGTCTCCCTGGAGAAAATCAGTGGGATAGTAAAGCTTTTTTTTGAATGACCAAAATCACCGAGGGCAAGCTTCGTTTGCTTCAATTTCTGGACGTTGGACTGCAGTGATAAATGAGAGATTTGAGGTTGGGCTTCTTAGTTTCTTAATATGCTCTAGCGGTGCAGCGCTTCTGAGGAAAGAAAAGATGTACAAGCTTTCATCATGACCTTGACAATCCATCAAGCTATTTCCTTGGCACCAAGCTATTTCCTAGGGCTCATTAAAAACTCTCGACCCAGGAGACTGGAATGTGATTACAGAATTAGTGTTATAAAGGCCCTCAGCAATTGAATATTAAAAGTATAATTTAAATATAGCATTAAAAAGCTGTTTTACAAAATCCTGTTGGATACACCCAAATGTCTATTCCAAAATCCTCTTTCTACAGCGGGCAGATAAATGCCTGGGGAAAGCCAAAAGTGATGTTTCATATTCCTTGAGAATGCACTGGCTCTGTTGTTGAATATAATTATATGTTGCGATTTTCACAGCCTTATTCTCCTTGGATTTATTTAATTCCCCTTTACAGTTGCTTAAACATGACAAAATTATACACAAAATGTGCACTTAATTTGATATGCATAGCCTTATACATTTATGTCCTATTATGTTTATGAAGAATGGAGAAGAAATGTTTCCTTAGCTTTTCCCTCTTATCTTCAGAGCTGCCATCCATGATATCAATCTAATAGTAGTAAAGTACATGCTGTTCCCAGACTAATGTAGAGAACTGTTGTCTCTCAGAAAATTGACAGAAGTGTCTCCCAGAGGAAATATATCCTGAATGCCTGATAACCTCTTCTATTGAAGACAATTAAGATTTAGTATTTGCTGAGATTCAAAGCAACTGAAAGTCTATTTCAATGCCATTACCATCTTCACCTAATGTCGGCCCTCTGAAAGAGCTGGAAGAAATGATCGAAAGCTTATATGACTCTTTGAGAATATATGGATTGACTGAATACATTGTTCTAATGCACAATGTATACTATTGGAAGAATAGAGAAAACCATGCTTAAAAGTTCTTATCAGGAAACATTATTAAATAAACAGAAATAGAGATTTAAAGGGTTATTTCTAGATTGTGGTTTCTTTCAAAGGCAAAATCCACAAGAGCAATTGTCATGTGTTACGAAGTCACTTCCGTTTGTGTAACTTGAAGCTTGTTTGATTAAAATACTGGAGACTCCATTTATGCATTACATAGAAATCCACATTGAAATATCTCTTTGAAATGGCTGGCTAGCTTCTAGAATGTAAACATACCTAGTGATAAAGGACCATCACATATCTGGATAATTGGTTCCACCAAATAGATTCTGTTACTGTAAGAAAGTGTACATTAAATACTGCTGGTTAAAAAGTGATGTATAAATTACAGACTGAAGAATTCAGCAAATCTTTCTTTGTGAATTCTGTTTCACAGAGCAGCATTAGAATGACCAGTGGGCCTTTGTATTCCTTCTGTTCTCTTTCTCCTTAAAAACGGTAAAGATGTAAACAGCAAAGTATTGAATTGAAAAATGTTTTGAAATAAACATTGATTTAGATGTCTTATTTTCTGCATAGGTGGCAGTTGCCTCAGAATTAAAATATGGCTGGACAAATATCAGAATCAGATCAGATCAAGCAGGTAAATACGGTTATCATTTTTGAATGTGTTTGAGTGCTTTTGAATGTTTGTATTACCACATAATTTGACACTTGAATAGCCTTCCCTAGAAAGAAAACTAAAGTTAATATCTGTATCAAATGCATTTATCCATTCAAAACAAGTACATATTTGATATTACCCAAGTGCCCTTGCTTTTATGGATATTTCTTGTTCTCAATTTGTCCTTTATATTTATTTCCTGTGAAGAATGGGCACAGTGAAGTCTGAATATCTATTTATTTATTCACAGTTTAAAGAATTTCTTGGAACATACAACAAACTAACAGAAACCTGCTTCTTAGATTGTGTGAAAGATTTCACTAGCCGAGAAGTGAAGCCAGAAGAAGTATGTGACTTATTTTATTTGTTTTGGATTGTAACGGGTAAGAAGTTAATGCCAGCTAGAAAGTTGCAGTATGATGAGGGAAAGATAAATGAATTAGTGCTAAAACATCAACAATAATCAGACTTTAATTAGATGTAAAAAGATCCTTCTTGGATCAAATTGGTATTTATCCTAATCCAGAATCCAATTACTAATTCAAGTCCAATTTTGCTGTTCAGGCAAGATAAGATATTCCTGGAAAATGATGGTTTTGCCAACTAATTTAAAATTTGCAGGTCATACATTAGAGACCGTATACACAGAATACGCTAGATAATTATAGTTAATAGTAATAGTTTATTAATGAAAATCCATTGTGTTACAGAGATTTCTCTCAAAGCAGCAGGGAAGAAATTCCATGAATTTGAGTCACAAAGGGCTTGCTTTCATTGGGCAAGTCTTATATCTTATGATATACAAATTGTAAATTGTATCAATATCTCTTTCCCCTTCAGCCCTAGAATTGCTCAGTTTAGGCATCAGCATGAAATATTACATATTAGGAGTCTAGCAGGTACTGGGCACCAAACAAAGACCAATGTGGGAAGTAATTACACATAGTCCTTGATTTAGGACCACTCACTTAATGACTAAAGTTACAATGACTTCAGGGAGCTTTATGGTCTGTTCAAAGTACTTCTGGCTATTGTAAAATGATCACATGATTGTAGTCTGGATGCTTGGTAACCTGTTCTTATGACTAATTTCCAAGTGTCCTATGACACATGATCACTATTTGCAATTTCTCTGCTGGCTTTCCCAGAAAGTCAATGTGGAATTTGGTAGGGAATGTTGCAAACTGCTGCTGTCTGCCAAGAAGACTCCCTCTTACCTCTGGGAGCTGGCTGAAAGAACTGCCTTCCAAGGGGAGCTGAACTCCCTTGCTGTGATTTTCACAGGCTCTGAGCTCCCTTCCACATATAGAGAGCTGACATCTTGCAGGATGCAGAAATGGAACTTAAATCCTGATGATTTAAATTCCATTTCTGTACCCCACAGAAGGAGTTTTCTTCCATGGAGAAAGAGCTAAGACCTGATATCCTTCTGATATCCTGATAGCTCTTCCAGACACCTCCTTCTAGAGATGAGAGGGATCCGAAATCCAAGTAGAGAGTGAAGAGGCAGTACAATAAGGTGAGGAACTTGGATTAGCTCAGGCAAGAGGACGAGGCCCAATGTAGGTAGCACACTAATGTCTTTTCACTAGTGTCTGTACTTGGATTTTGGCAGGGAGGATTTTCACCTAAGCAGAGAGAAAGCAGAGTCAGGAAAGGAGCACAGAATGCCTCAGGGGGAGGCCCAGTATAGGTTGTACATAAGTATCTCTCTCACTCAGGCTGAAGTTCTGCTTGGATTTTGGCAGGGAGAATTTCAGCTTCTGAGTAGAGACTCCCAGGGTCTCCCCTCACCCCAAGGCACTGTGCACTCCTTGCCTGGAACTTCTTGTGCAAACACTTTTATTTATTTGAATTCCACCTTTACTATTTTTACAAATAACAAAGTGACGGACATATCTAACACACCTTCCTCCTCCTATTATCAAGTGAGGTGAGTGGGGCTGAGAGAAAGCGACTGGCCCAAGATTACCCAACTGGCTTTCGTGGCTAAAGCAGGACTAGAACACAGTGTCCTGCTTTCTTTCTAGCCTGGTACCTTACTCACTGGACCAACTGGCTTTCTCTTAATGAACACAACCAAGAGTGCTGGGAACGCAGTCACAGGGTGTCTCATTTAACAAGAGCTTTGTCCTTTGCTTGAGATTCTGATCCTAATTGTGGTTAAGTGAGGACTACCTCTATCTAATAGAGTTAGAATGTGAAGTTTGTCTTCTCACAAGTTGCAAGCGTAAATAAGAACAGTTTGCTTGTCTAAGCAGCCTCTTCTAGATATTAATTAAAAAGTTGGGTCAAACTGAGGATAGGTGGTATGCCAATGAATATAGTTATTCTGTTGAGTTGTCAATAGATTAAATCTGCTGTACAAGTAGAATGCTCTTTTTGCAAGATTGATCTTTTTTCTTGTCCTCTGTATTTTCTTGTATCTCCCACCTCCCTTTCCAAATTACTAGAAGCATATTTTACGTGAGCTCTATTTAAGGGGGGGATCAGCAAAGCTAGAAATCTTGCACTAATAGTGCAATTTTTTGCCTCTTAATTTGCATTTTACTTCTGTTAAAATAAATTGAATTCCTTGTTAATAACCAGTGACATAGATTATTCCCCCAGGAATTTTCAGGTTCTTTTGTTACAATCATACAAGCTAGCAACTATCATTACATACAGCAGCCGGACAGTATACTTAGAATCCGAGAAAACAATTACTTTTAAGTACTGGAATTGTTTTTCCTCAATGCAAAAAAAAGAAAATCATAATCCAATCTGGTAGTAACAGAGATAGGCACAGTGACCAAATCTCCCATTTATTTTGGTATTTGAATAGACTTTAAAGAAAAATGATATATTATTTTCTATTGTTAGATAAAAGCTAAAAGTTCAAAATTCTTTATAGTAGTACATCCGATAATTTGTCACTAGAAATGAAGGAAAAGTATGTTGAAAAGCAGCACTAGACACCAATATCTTAGTGTCTTAAAATTAAGAGATTCTAATGCCTCAATTTTCATAATTTGTTTTGAAAATACTGACTGTTAAATTATCATTATAGCAAAAGGAAGTGTTTGAGCAAGTTCTGGGTACCTGCTTCTGCTTATATCTAATGTTTTATGAAGTTTTAAAGGAATTTTTTATAGATACTTAAATGTAGCATCAGACGGCCTGGGATGAGAGTTTATGAAAAGTAGTGCATAAACATATATGTGTGTAAAAAAGAGCATTTTAAAATACTTTACATATTTAAAAAAAACTGAATGACAAGTAGGTTCCTCCTGTTTTTTTCCTTACACAGATAACTTGTTCAGAACACTGTTTACAGAAGTATTTAAAAATGACCCAGAGGATATCTATGAGATTTCAGGAGTATCATATTCAGCAGAACGAAGCGTTGGCTGCCAAAGCAGGACTTCTCAGTCAGCCCCGCTAGAAAACCACAGATTGTCCCACACGAAGGAATGCCAGCATTGCCTACACTACATGTGAGGATGCCTGGTGTCTTGTGCTATTCCAACAACACTACCACCAGCTCAAAATGGGACTGCTTAAAGAATGATTCAGTTGTCTCGAAATATCTGGTCTACAGTTGGGATTGAACAGCCATGGAGTTTATGGAGTTTTTTTTTCAAGATTGTCTTTTATTGTAATGCAAGAATAATGTTGATTCCATCTTTTCTGGAAAGATGGATTGGTTCTACGTGTTAATCGGTTACAGATAAGGAACAAAAACACATTTTATTTTTTATTGTTTCTAATACAGTGATTATTCATTTTAAAAGAAAAATGTGTTGTCCAAAATTATATGTAAAAGTGTCTAAAACAAGCTTTATTTTTTATTTAATCAAAGTAAAAGAGATAAGAATTGCTGTTGCTTTTGAGAGGTTTTTTAGAATTATCAACGATCATTAGGTACTCTCTTAAGAAAAGCCTTGTGCAACGCTGCATTCTCACTCATCTCCAGCATTCTGCTGGCTCACAGCTGGCTCAAATCGCTAGTAAATGGGGAGAAATAGAGTAATAATGCACTTAGATATCAAACTTTTTGATTTTCTAAAAACTATATTCTAAGAAGATATTTATATTCTGATAACAAATGATAACAAATTTTACATCCTACTTTCCCTGGACACTTGCAGGTCTTATTTTTCCTCTGGATACAACATTCTAACTTTGATTTGATTTGATTTTGATTTGATTTGTTTATTATTTATAGGCCGCCCTTTTCCCTGAGGGGACTCAGGGTGGCTTACAATTTATAGGGAGGGGGATACAAGACAATAAAACAATAAACATGAAAACAGTGCAAGTAAAAATAAAACATAACATTCACCATTCGGGTGGGGACAGATTACAATCTTTATCCCCAGGCCTGACGGGATAGCCAGGTCTTGAGGGCTGTGTGGAAGGTCTGGACGGTGGTGGGGGTACGAATCTCCACGGGGAGATCGTTCCAAAGGGTCGGAGCTACTACTGAAAAGGCTCTCCTCCGCGTAGTTGCCAGTCGACACTGACTGGCAGATGGAACTCGGAGGAGGCCTAATCTGTGCGATCTAATAGGTCGCAAGGAGGTAATTGGCAGGAGGCGGTCTCTCAAGTACGCAGATCCACTGCCATGAAGGGCTTTATGGGTGGTAAGTAGGACCTTGAAGCGCACCCGGAGATCAACAGGTAGCCAGCGCAGCTCGCGGAGGATGGGTGTTATGTGGGCGAACCGAGGTGCACCCACAATCACTCGCGCGGCCGCATTCTGGACTAGCTGAAGTCGCCGGATGCTCTTCAAGGGCAGCCCCATGTAGAGCACGTTGCAGTATTCCAGCCTAGAGGTCACAAGGGCCCGAGTGACTGTTGTGAGAGCCTCCCGGTTCAGGTAGGGTCGCAACTGGCGCACCAGGCGAACCTGGGCAAATGCCCCCCTGGTCACAGCTGTCAGATGGTGGTCGAAGGTCACTTAAAGAGACTACTTTTGATGGCAGGAGTGGGCAGGGGTGTCAAACTCACGTCGTCATGGCAGCATCACGTGACGTATTGGGACTTCCCCCCTCCTTCACTAAACAGGGCGTAGGTGTGACACATTTGGCCCATGGGCTGGGAGTTTGACATCCCTGATCTAGGGAATAATTTAGAGCAGTGGTAGTCAACCTGGTCCCTACTGCCCACTAGTGGGCATTCCAGCTTTCATGGTGGGCGGTAGAGATTTGCTGTAACTCTGCTTTATAAATTTTATAAAGTAAAGTTAGTTCCCTACCGGTGGGCGGTTAGAAAATTTTACTACTAACAGAGATACAAAAGTGGGCGGTAGGTATAAAAAGGTTGACTACCCCTGATTTAGAGGCATATCAAGTTCAAGAATAAAAAAAATTAACAATTATGGACCATTGGAAACAATATGGTTTAGTTTATATAGCATGGTTACCAAATGTGATTCTTGCATTCACATACTATACCTAAGTAAATAAATTGATATGTCATTCAATGGGATGCACTGGTTCATACAGCATAAAATAGTAGCTCAGTCTTCACTCTAAATCACATGTACATTTTTGTTTAGCCTAGCTTGTTGTGTGAGCCTGATGATTTTAAGAGGGGAGTATTAATTTAAGTGAAATTAAATTTATTGCTATCTTTTAAAAGCATTATAAAAGTTTAATTCATATTTTGCCCAGAAAAATGAAGCAGCATTGAAATCTTGCTACTCTACAAAAAATAGGAAGCCTGAAGAATTTTCTTTTTCCAGGAAAAAAACCACAAGACTTTACACTGTTGCATAGAAATAGCTTCCTGTTGATTTTTCTTTTTTGAAAAGCTTATCTTCTACCAGTAGTTGTGTGTTTGATTTTGGAATTAATGAATTCTAAATTTTTCGGTTATGTTAGGGCCTTTTATGAGCCATGAATATAAAATGCTGTTCTACTTTTGAACAGCAGAAGTTTTGAAAATGATTCTACTGCATTCATTAATGTTTTAAAAGTTTCAAATTTACCTACTTGAATAGTATGCGGGATACTGTGCACAAGCATTTCAAATACTCGCGGAGGTAGAGTTTGCTCCAAGACTTGCATTAGCTGATTTGGCTGTGCGCACACAGAAATAGCATTGATGAGGTGCTCAACACTCTTCTTCTGCTCTCCTGCAATTAATTCATATTCCTAAAATTCAATCCATCGTTCTTAAAACCAGTTCAATCATTTATATTATATGCACTTACAATTTGCATTCTATATCTAACCCCAAACATTGATTTAACCTTCTGTTGTCTATGCTGCAATGTGACAAAATTACACTAACTGCTACAGCAAGTGAAGCAAAGGTAAAAGGACCAGCAACTACATCCTCTCTGCCTACAGCCTTTAAAGTAAGTAGCCAAAAGAAAAACTCTCTGCGTGTATAAAACTCCCTGTACAAAAATTTCAGATGATAAGCTTACTATGAGTTTCCAAAATAATAATCACTGACATGTCCGTCATAGATTTTTTTCATAGTATGTGTATAAAATTCCTGACCCATATGATTTATTTTTAAAAAATGAGACTGTAGAACACCAGTGAAACTTAACTAGGCAGAAAAGGCATGAAACTATCCCTTTATCTTTCACCATATTTAAAAATTCTAGGGCATTTTGCCTTGTGAATTATTTCTACAATTATAGGACTGGATTGTAACATATGCCAAATAAAACAATCAAGATTATTCTGTAATTCATCAATGATCCTGATGCGAAGTCTTTTATATCTCAAGTATTTTTTGTTTATAATTACTGTACAATAAGGTACATTCAAATTTATGTGAACAGAAGTATCATTTGGAATCATATTAGTCCCATGAGTGAAGTCAGAGCTGTAACTGATAATGCAAGCCACTTTCAAAACAAAACAGTGACAGTCAGAGTTGTAACATTGTAATTCTGTGGTTAGTAAAGCCGAGATAAGCTGTCTAATTTTTATTTTTTTATTTATTGTGCTTTTAAGTCACTTGATTCCTGGCAAATGCATGGACTAGGTCTCTTATTTATTTATTATTTATTTATTTATTAAATCGATTTATAGGCCGCCCAATCCCGGAGGACTCTTAATTTCCTTCACAACATTTTTGGAATTGGATTGCCACTGCCTGCTTCTTAGGGCTGAGAGAGTGACTGTCCCAAAGTCATCCAGCTGCCTTTGTGCCTAAAGTAGGACTAGCACTTACCGTTTCCAGTCTGTTCCCTTAACCACTACATCAAATTGAATCCAAATGTTGCTGGACATATTTTCAACAGGACCAGGAAGCATAGCCGATGCTGAGTGTCAGTGGGAAACACAGTTTAATAAAAGGTCTCAGAATCCTATGCCTAAGCTAGCTTTCACCTTTTGTTTTTACCATCCAGCATTGTGGAAGAACATCAAGTGAAATAATATCACCTTTACTCATCACTTTAATTTTCAGAAGCAGAAACATTTGATTCAGTTCCTTACATGTTGCCAAATCATGCTTCATTAAAATGGGTGTTTTTACTATTTTCAAAGTTAAATATTTATCACATTTCTCTCAACTTTACCTTTTGTCAACCAAAGTTCTCCTAGCTGTATCTCCTGAAGAAAGAACTCTTGTATTTGTTCAGATTCTTTTAGCTTGCGTAACTAAGGGTTTGGGGGTTTGTTTTTTAAAAAAAAGAAATGGAAATCAGTGAATTAATCTGAGTTAATGACAGTTTTTTAAAATCTATAATTAAGTTTCCAGTTGTAGAAATAGATCTTGTGAAGGCTTTACAATTACAATTTATGAAAATGCCTATTGGTTTCAGAAAAGCATCAGGTTCTATGAATGTTTCATGACTACAGCTACTCCTCGACCTACAGTCATTCATTTAGTGACTGAAGTTACAATGGCACTGAAAAAAAGTAACTTATGACCATTTGCTGCAGCATCTTCATGGTCACGTGATTAAAAGTCAGCTATTGGCAACTAGCTTGTATTTATGACAGTTGCAGAGTCCTGACATCATGTGATCATCTTTTGCAGCCTTCTAACAAGCAAAGACAACGGGAAAGCCAAATTTATTTAAAAAACATCTTAGCAATTTAACAACTGCTGTGATTCACTTAACTAAGGCAAAATATGGTGTAAAACGGAGCAGGTTTCACTTAACAACTCTCTTGCTTATAACAAATTTTGGGCTCAAATGTCATAAGTCATGGACTACCTGTACTGGCATTTAAAGGGCATTTTATTATTGTTACATTATTGTTTCAATTACTATATTAGTATTTGTACATTTAACAGCACAACTCTAAATACTTAAAAGTGGAAGATCTATATACAGTCAAACATGTTCATGTAGTTCCATTGCTGGACACATTTGGGATGTATCATAGATATGGCGATGAATACATACAGTATCCTTTCCCAGTTTCTCTTATTTATTATACCTTTCGGTGCCACCCATTCCAGCATTAAAGGTGAATGCTAAAAACTATAAAATGTTACAATTCTAAAAAGCCTCAGTACAAATAGATGTTAAGTCCTCTTCTAAACCACACTGGGGGGGGGGGGGGGGGAAGCCTCAACATTTACCCTACAATATAGAACCTGATTTAGAAATATAGAAAAATAATTTTATCATAAAGATATCTCTGGCAGAATCCGCAGAAGGGATGAGATGACTTGAGCATGAATAAATACCTCCTGAAAGTAATTTGGGCTGAAGATATGATTGGGTTCAAAAACAACTGGTAAACTAAAGCAGTTGTTTTAACGTGGGCATGATATGGCAACTCCTAAAATGCTACTTGCCAGCTAGGTAACTATGTTTACTAATTCAGGGTCAGCTGAAATTTCTGAACTGCATCCTCATCAGCATGCCAGGTCTGAAGGATATTGGGAGATGTAA